AATCATACAGTCAACCGAGGGAACAAAGCAGGAGGACCCTGTTGCAATGGCAATAGGCCTATCTGTGCTCCAGCACACAATCAAATTTGAAACAACTGAGGTCAAGCAAGTGGCGTACGCTGATGACCTTACAGGAGCAGGAAAAGTGGAGGACATCAAAAAGGGTACCACCCAAATGCCAGCAGGTCCTTCCTCAGTGTGAAGCCAGAACATTATGAATGGGATATGGAGGTGTTAGGTGGAAGTGAGGTCAAAATAACAAAGGATGGCCAAAGACACCTAGGTGCAGTAATTGGCACGACGGACTTCAAGACCGAGTACTGAACGGGAAAGGTGAATGAGTGGGTTAGGGAAATCCAAGCTCTGTCTGAGACTGCTAACACAGAGCCACATGCAGCTTTTGCGGCATTCACCCATGGAGCCAAGCATCGCTGGAACTACCTGATGTGCACTATCCCGATATCGGACCCCTCCTCCACCCTCTGGAAGAAGCCATCAGTGTCAATTTCATTCCCAAATTAGTGAAACATCCTCACTTAACCCCAGCAGAAAGATCACTCCTTGCACTACCACCGAGACTGGGAGGAATGGGACTGACCAATCCAAAGGAGATTGCTGCCACCGAACATCAAAACTCAGTGAAGCTCACGGCAGCCCTCACGGACCACATAATAGCTCAGAACGCAACAGGGGAGGTGGATACCAGTGAAGTAAACAAGATTCGAAGGTCCATTACGACAGAACGACAGCACGGACAAAGTGATAAGTTGCAGCAACTGTTGCTGCAAGTACCAGAGAATTTGAAGAAAAAAAAGTAGCTATAGTGCAAGAGGTGGGCGCCTCGAACTGGTTTTAGTCTCAATAAGCAAGAATTCACAGATGCTAATGCTCTAAGGTACAGGAGGCCAGGAGAAGGTTTGCCCTCCCAATGCATGTGTGGCTCTTCCTATGATGTCGATCACGCCATGGTGTGCAAGAAAGGGGGTTTCATATGCATGAGGCATGACGATGTAAGGGATCTCACAGCAAATATGTTGAAGGAAATCTGCCGTGATGTCAAGGTAGAACCGACCCTCCTTGCATTGGACGGTGATATTTTCCAACATAGGACTTCAAACACACCCAGCAAAGCCCGTGTTGACGTCAGTGCTCGAGGATTCTGGACACGGGGACAGCGTGCCTTCGTCGACATCAGGATTTTTTACCCCATGGCCGTATGTCACCGTAACTTAGCTCTCAATGCTACACACAGGAGGAACGAGAACGACAAGATAAGGGCATACAGGGAGAGAATTCAGAACGTTGATCAAGGCAGTTTCACTCCTCTAGTTCTCACAACCTCTCGTGGGATGGGACCAAGTGCAAGATGCTTCTATGCCAGACTCGCGGAGGTGATATCCGAACAGAAGCAGCAGCCCAGAAGTTATGTTACAGCCTGGATGAGATGTCGACTGTCCTTCTCTCTCCTTCGGTCAGCTTTGCTCTGCCTCAGGGGAACGAGAGCAACGGCCCCAAAGCCGACAACAGTTGCAGATATTGACTATGAGGCTACAGTCACTGAATGCCGCATAGATCTGCGGCTCAACTAACTCAACACAGCTAGGATAGCTACTTATGTATTAGTATATTTAATATTAAGGTAATAAAATGGTGGCGAAGGTATGTCTATTGGGGGAGGCTGGAGGCCATTTAAAAAAATAAAATAAAAAAATAAAAAAGTAATAATAGTAGTGGTGTGTGTGTCTACACACATATACAGTACAGTACAGGTAAAAGAAATAATTGTCCTAAGGGCAAACACATACAGTAAAGAGAATATCATGTCTTTGCATACAAGTAAAAATGTACTCCCCACAGTCAGTAAATGATATTCGTGTTTTGGCAATTCGTGGCCATTTTGAGACCCAAACCCCCCATATTTTAGGCGCATGCTGTAAAGTAATTTAATACCAGGTGTCAGGAGAAGAAGAAAAAGCTTCTCAGCTGGAGCATTTAGACAAAACACAATACAGTACTGTTTACCTCACCCATGATGATACCTATGACCCTGGGTTTACAGAAGCAGCTTTTGTTCTTCATCCAGTTAACAACTATTAAGAACATCTGGTCTGTGAATGTAAAGACAATGACTAAGGTTACTATGAGGATGAGAAACAATGGTGCTCAGTACCTGTGTGTGTAGAGATTCAGGTTCTTATGGAGGAGAGAGATAGAGGTGAGGTAATCTGGGGGAGTGCTCTTTAGAGTGCTGTCCTCAACAGGCACAAAAGTAATCTGGGTGGATCCTCCTCCTAGGTCAAGGGCCACTAGTGTGTCCTTTGGATTACTGCTGATGCGATCTGTAAATGAAACACAATCAAAATCAAAACGGATCAAATTACGTGTATCCAATCATATTTCTTTTACTACAAAGGCAGTAATCTAGGTCTCACCTACTGTCACTTACAACATACTGCACAATAAAGCTTCTTGTACTTAAACACAAATTAATATGTATTTAATTATACTCCAAGCTTTTTACTATCACTGATTATATTATCACACCAGTTGCTTCTCTACCACCTTCTCAAAACCTACTGAAGAATGACTAAAATCCAAAACCTCGCCAACTGCCATTCACTCAACATTACAGTATTCAAAATTTATTAAGGCTTAATTTTATGCACACTCGTGTCCCTGCGTCAGTTCCCCACTTTGTTTCATCCAGACCAGTGCTGTGTTGTGTTTACTCCTGCCTTTGTTGTGTCTTTTCGTGCATGTTGTGGTGAATTATTTTATCATTTTTGTAGCCCCAACCCAAACAGGGTGGTGCAGCACTTAAAAGGAAGCACACTAGTTATAGCATTGATGTAATTTAGAAGTGATTAGGCGAAAGAAGAGTAGGAGTGGACAATCCACCTAGTCCTGTTTCTTTTTCATCCTCTAACTAATCCTACATCCTCCAATAACCACCTCCATCAATACAATCAAGCCAAACATCTCTACCTTTGAAGCTAAGTTAATAGAAATATTTTATTATGTTAAAATTATCTATTTTTTAACAAAATATAAAAAGTGTTTTGTCTCGATGAACCACTGGAGTGAGTGTGCACCAGCAACGGTTGCTGCAGACCACCGGGTCACTGGCACAACTTATGTTGCTTCAACACACCGACCCCAATGAACTTTAAGGATAACTTATAAAGTTAAATAATTTCTTAAAATAATGTGTTATCAAATGTTTAACAAATGTTTCTCAGGTAAATAATTTTTGAAAGATATATAATTTTTTTTATTGTTATGTGCAATGGCAAGGTCCCAATTTGACCTATTTCCATTATTTATTAAGGGACAATTCCCCACTTTAAGTGGATTCATTAGCAGAAGCGTTTTTTCGGTCCCAATTAATCGTGGATAATGATGACCCCCTGTAAAGCTTTCCCTTATTGAGTCACCATTTCAAAGAGCAAAAATTTCACTACAGTCCATATCTCTCTTTGCTCCTCCTCCACTTTTGGGTGGAGTGAATCAAAGTGTACAAAACACCAGAGAAAGGAGGAAATATTAGGGGTGAGTGATGCAAGACAAGAGTGGAAAACAGCAGCAGAGGGCTAAGACAACAAGTACTAGAAGCACCCACAGATATATTGTATGCCTATAGCCTCACATTGTGTAGGAAACTAGAAATTAACATATATTTTGAGCCTCAGTAAGAAGATAGGAAAAAAAAATTGATTTACCCATGAGGTAGTTGACAGTGAACCAGGAGAAGATCCCCTCATCACGACCATCCATGATGCCAACTGAGTTTTCTGTTGTGTGAAACCCAGATGTTGCCAGATATTTCTTTACCTGTGTAAAAATATTTGATCACATATGTTAGTAAACAGTGTACAGTACAGTACTAGCTTCCACTGACTTAATGAGCACACTTCCTAACACTGAATATCAAAGACAAAAACAAGCATTTCTTCACAAATGAATTATCAAAGGGCTATGGATCCTCTAGCAGTGGGTTCAAACCTTTTTTGGCTGCGACCCTAAATTTCCCAACAATACGGTGTCGTGACCCTCAGGCATATAATATATTATATAGCTTGAATGTTAAGCAAAAATTTGTTTTACTATGATAAGTACTATATTTTTTTAATTGTCTGAAGGCCCCTAGTGACCCTACTGAGGACACCCCGCGACCCTGATTTGGGTCGCGACCTGAGATTGGGAACCGCTGCTCGTAGAGGGTTTTAAACTAAAACTGTCAGCACTTACAAATCAATGTACTGTGCTTTATGTTATAAATGAGTGCCTCAGCCTCACATCCTTCTCAATTTTTACAACAGATACATTAAAACTTGAATACAAATGCTGATTCTGACACACATGCCAAGGATGACACAAATTTCTCTCTCAAATTTGCAAAGGTAACCTCAAAGTCTATTTTGCTTGATAAGCAATCATTCAATGACTAAGTACATAAGAAAGTCACATTTATTATATCCACGGGTTGAAAAAATAACCTTGGGTGTTGCCATCACCATTTCTATTGGGTTCAGGCTATTGTAATGAATGGTCACTTACTTATTAGAGAGAGTAATCTTGGAGAACACTTATATTCTTATAGACTCCACTATGTCAAGAGAAACATAAATATGGAACCACAGAAATCAGATTACAATGGGAAAAAAGGTATTATATCATAAACATTATGTCTTCCCCATATAACTCTCCTGAAACTCAGGTTCAAGTCTTACAAGGTGTGTTATGACAAATTATTTTCCTCAACACCTCCATTATGTACAGTAGAGCCACTGTATGGCAGTTTCTCTCACAAATGTAAAAAATTAATGGAAAAATATACTGTGAGTAATCAAATGTATCTGAAGCTTGCACCTCTACAATTGAGGTGTTGCTTCAATTTGAGATATCGACAATTTAGTGAGAATTACAGGCCTGTAAGGTCTCAGGGAAATTATTTCTCAAGCCTAGTTCTCACAGGCTTCAAGTAAGCTATGGGTGTAAGTACATAAACAGTAAGTGCCCAATGAACATTAATCCTTTGAATGAATCCACACTACTTGTATAACGAAAGCAAGTTTTTACTAACCATTTGCCAATTAATGAAAGAATGTTCTACTACTGTATTATGAAAGGTAAGTCAACCTCACCTTTCTGCTTTCTCACCAGCTCCATGATCACCACCACTACCTCTTATCACCATCATCACCACTAGTACCTCTATTATCATCACCTAAATCATAATTTCACCTTCCATCCTTCCTCCCACCCACCCACTGCTCTCACAGACACTGCCTCACTCACTCATTCTCCGACTCTCATTCATGATAGTACAATACAGTCGGCCCTTAACATACGCGGGTTTAACTTACACGGATTTGCAAATACACGGATTGCCGCTGGAGGAATATACATTCAAAGGAATAGACATTATTCAAATCGCGACACACACACACGCACGCGCACGCACACGCACACGCACACGCACACACACACACACATCCTTGACCACCGAAGGGTCAAGACGTACCTGGCGCTCCTCTCGGAGCAGCCAGGTCAACTGTTATGTTGGCCCATACCAACTCCCTCCCCTGAACCCTCCTCCCCACCGGAATATCAACAAGTTCACGCCAGAAGTTACTATTTCATTTAGGAAAGAAATGGAACCAGTGTTAAACAGAGGTGAACAGTGGTGAACAGTCCTTAAGTCAGTGAGAACAACTCAACAGTAACAGTGGTACCCAAGTTGACCTTTCACACAGTGAGGTCCCAGGTACCCAGTGATAACGGCCTGTGAGACCCAACTACCAGCGATGTGTTAATCCGTCTACGATAGGAAGGCCTGGAACCACACCTCACTCATATAACACCATCTGTGAGGGAATTACTAAACCACATGTCCCTCATAACACCATCTGTGAGGGAATTACTACACCATGTGAGGCCCCTCATAACACCATATGTGAAGGAGTTACTACACCACGTGAGGCCCCTCATAACACCATCTGTGAGGGAATTACTACACCATGTGAGGCCCCTCATAACACCATCTGTGAGGGAATTACTACACCACGTGAGGCCCCTCATAACACCATCTGTGAGGGAATCTGTGAGGAATTACTACACCACGTGAGGCCCTCATAACACCATCTGTGAGGAATTACTACACCCCCTCATAACACCATCTGTGAGAATTACTACACCACGTGAGGCCCCTCATAACACCATCTGTGAGGGAATTACTACACCACGTGAGGCCCCTCATAACACCATCTGTGAGGGAACTACTACACCACGTGAGGTCCCTCCTAACACCATCTGGGAGGGAGTTACTACACTACGTTTTTGCTGTTCAACACCTACATTAATCTGTATGTTCACTGTATGTTCCTTTACCTTTCTCTAATGAAGGCTTTTGTTAAACCACCAATGTATGTAATAAGTCATTTATGTCCAATGTATATTTTCAGCCTTCGGGCTGCAGAACTTTTTCAATAAACCGTTAATTATTTATTATTATTATTACACACACACACACACAGCTCTCCCTCACTCAGTCAGTCTCGCTGTAACCACGCTTGTGTTGACATCAGCATTGTAGTTGCAAAAATATTACATTTCCCTGAATGCATTATATCAAGCACAGTATGAATAGAATACAGTCGGCCCTTAACATTCGCGGGGGTTAGGTAACAGAGATACCCGTGAATGTTAAAAATCCGTGTACTATTGCTGCCCCCCTCCCCCCCTAAAAAATCCCTGGCCCCCCATGTCCTTATTTACCGTATATACCTGTGTGTAGTTCGAGTTTTCAAGACCAAATTATTTGGCAAAAATTGGGGTCGACCTCTAAACGGGTAATAGTTTCGTTAGGTTGAAAAATAATTACCAGTAAGTACCAGTAAACAATGGAAACGATGCACCAACACACCACCAGCTGTGAGTGTCGGTACAGTTGCTAGGGCAGATCTCTTGCAAGCCCAAAGTAACCAAATCCATGGTATGGTAGCACAGGACGATGTAAAACAAAGTATTCATTTATTAAAGTTAATTTATAGATACTGGACATAAATTTTTGTTCATTACATTTGAAAAATCAATCTTTGTTAATTAAATTTGAAACAAGAGAAAACTACGATACTGGATTTTCATTAAAATATTACATCACAAGTATATTTTACCTTAACTGTGACTGAATGAATATATTCTCGGAAATAAATATGGAAATGTAATATTTTTGCTGGAATGACGTACATATTATAGTGGGAAGTGGGATAAAATCATGAGGAAAGACTTTCGCTTTCTTTCGTTGTTCAAAATATTTTACCGTAATCGCTTTTCGAATGGTTTTCAGTTAAAAAACTGTTGTACTCGTACTGTATTACAATAATATTCTATCCTATCATTAGCCTTATAATCCCACAACTGAAAACCATTCGAAAAGCGATTACGGTAACATCTTTTGAACGAAAGAAAGCGAAAGTCATTGCTTTCGTCACTTTCCACTGTAATACGTACATCATTTCAGCAAAAATATTACATTTCCATGTTCTCAGAAATAAATGGTAGTTTTGTTGAAACGTAATGTACAGTATTTAACATTAAAATGCAAAAATAGCTATAAAAACAATTAATACACCCGTAATGTACTGGCTGGCATCTCCACTCGTCCCTGCTCCCGCCAGTCACCTCCTCCCCGCTCTATCCCTCCGCCTCCTCCCTGCTCTATCCCTCCGCCTCGTCCCCGCTCTATCCCTCCGCCTCCTCCCTGCTCTTTCCCTCCGCCTCGTCCCCGCTCTATCCCTCCGCCTCCTCCACATCGTCACTACTGTTGTATTACAATAATATTCTATCCTAATTAACTTAAATAAATACTACGATACCATATTTCTGAATATTTTCATTAAAATCCATCCAAATCATTTTCCTTGCCATCGACTGCAGCACCAAACAGCTTCTCCCAGTCCTCTCCTTGAACAGGGCTAGAGGGTACGTGTTTTTCGAATCGTTTTCAATTACCGTATATCTCGGCTTATAAGACGGAATTTGAACATTAAAAAAATCTGCCCAAAGTTAGGGGGTCGTCTTAATCACCAAGTATAAAATTCTTACCTCTTAAATATTGCGTGTCAAGAGTGGTGATGGAAACATGGTAAACCACTCACAAAGTCCTACCAGGGAAAGTGACCTTGACTGTGACCGCCTGTGGCTATTTTTAGCCGTCCTTGTGTTCGGAGGTGGTCAGTAATGCATATCTGTATATTTACTGATCATAATACTTATCTCCTATAAATAATTAATTTAAAATTTATTTTTTTACAAAGAATATTCAGGAAATGACTGCGTTAATTCTTGAAACTACCGACAGTGGTAAATTTAGGATATAAATGATGAACAGAAGTCACTTCATGGAGTCATGGATTCGGAGTTTGGTCCTTAATGATCACCTACCAGTTATAATGCTAGCCTCCCTTTTTCGCGAAACAAGTATATAAATTAAAGAAAATACTTGCAGTGTGTTTAATGTATTACAGTATATTATAAATAAATAAATAAACAAATAAATCGGCAAATCTATTTTAAGTAAATGGAAATATTTTACTCACACCAACATTAGTTCCAATTAAATAACTGCCGCTTAAGTGAGTCACTAGTGTACACCAGCCGGTATAATTTGATGCCAATACTTGAAGTGAATTGGCATTATTTTAAATAACCAACAATAAATAAATGGAAAAAAGATCAAAGGTGAGAAACATTATATTGTATGTATGTTGTGTTGTCAAAGGAAGAGAAACAATTGAAACTCTGCAATTGTGTGTAAATGAGACAGAAAGATAAATCAGCAACCTAAGACTTGGTCACAATTT